AAATGGCATGATTTATCAGCATACATACACTCGGGGTGGGATTCAACCAGTGTTACTACCGGTTCGGTGATTATGTTTTGCGCACGCATGCTTGCTGTGCGCGCATGTACTACACCTAAAGCTATGCTGCCCGGACAGCTGATAAGCGCTGTGCGTGGGTGCGTAGTGTTTGAAAAACCACTTTTTTACTGCTTTTTCAACCTCAGCTTTGCTGCGCAAAGCAGCTGAGGTTGAAAAATCAGGAAATAAAGGTCAGGTAAGAGCCTGGGCAGGCAAGTGGGCCAAACAGCAGCAGACACAGAACCGGTTCTGTGTCTGCTGCTCTTCAGAGCTACCGGTTTTATAGAGCCGGGCAGAATCGATAGCATCCCACCCCTGCATACACTCCATTTCATGAGAACTCAGGCAAGAACACTTGGAATTATGTAAGATCCATCTTAGGTAATGATATGGTTGCAAGATTCAGCCAATGCCATTGATGTATTTATTTTGAAGGTTTGGCAAGCAGTGAAATTGCGTGATCAACCAATGCCTAAAATAGTTGTTGACTTCTGCTTCTCTGTATTGCCTGTTTTTAAAACCAAGATTTTAAAAAAACCTTTGAAAACAAACAAGCATTAGGAAGTGATAATGCAGTGCCAGAATCCAAACAAAATAGATACAACTGTATTATTATCAGTTTCTTGAATTATCTGGCATCAGAAAATTGCGTAAGTCTGTAGTACCACATTAGGGTTGGGGAATCAAGAACATGCTTTTTATGTCTAGATAGTTTTTCCATTTTCTTCTTTCTCTGTTGAATGAACTTAACAAATTGCATGGTTGTTCCTACCAGCTACGTGCTGAGAATTCTGGTGGTTGGGCAGATAAAGAAACATTCAGCTCTATTCAGGAATTTTCGCCTATTATCCAATTATGAATCTTCAAGTTCCTGACTTACATTTCTGTTTCTGTGTTCCATTATTTTAAACGTATTATGTCTCAAAAGAAACCTATTTCGACTTGAAACTTTCCTCAATATTTTCTGAATTGATACAAACTTACATATATATATATATATATATATATATATATATATATGTATGTATGTATGTATGTATGTATGTATGTATGTATGTATGTATATGTATATGTATATGTATATGTATATGTATATACATATATATATATATTATATAAACTGTATAATCAATTGTAGATCTGGAATCACAAGATGGGTAACAAATCTTGGAAATATAAATAAGAGGTTGGAAGTAGATATATTGTCTGATAAGTAAGGTTTGAAATAAGTTTTTTTTTTAAATTGCTATGGAGGAAAAGATTCAAATCCATGTTGGATCAATATATCACACTTAACCATAATGTAGTTTAATTTGGTTTGTACCCACAAGTTCAGAGGTGGCATTCAGCAGGTTCTAACCAGTTCTAGAGAACTGGTAGTGGAAATTTTGAGTAGTTTGGAGAACCGGCAAATACCACCTCTGACTGGAGATTTTACAGTATCCTTCCCCTGCCAGGCCCACCAAGCCACGCCTCACCAAACCACGCCCCACCAAACCACGTCCTCAGAACTGGTAGTAAACATTTTTGAATCCCACCACTGGACAAGTTGTATCTTAGCATGAACCTAGCATGAATTTGTTGATGTCAAAGACATGAAATGCAAAGGCAAATCAACTAAAAAGTGGCAACTAATTCTGATGTCATATTTTGTGAAAGTTGTAATTCAGATATTCAGCAGAATCTGTTTAAACTAGATAAGTCCAAAGCCCTGGGCTGCATGTGACCCTGAACAGATAGTAATTTGACAAACAAGATACTATATATAACAAGGAATTTTTTTATTTATATACATTACCTATATCATATTGTTTATATGCAGCTTAAGACTATTCCTCTTCATTCAGTGTGAACCATGTATGTGTGTGGAAAGAGACAGAGACATCAACATTAGAAGAGAATGATTTTAAATAACTGAAACGTGTATTGCATTTACTCAAAAGATAGGCAGCCATAATTTAAGAACTACCTTCCCACAAAAAAAGTTAAGATAAAAAATAATTATTTGCTTCCATAAAGCAAATGGGAAAGCTCGCCTTATTTTCTGATAAATGATGTTCCTATTGATAGCTGGTCTGTTCACTAATGTATATTTGGAAGACAGTGGTTGTTAATACTACAAAATTATTTTTGGTCCTTTTAAGTTGCTGGCACATATAAAAACCACTCTGAGGGGTCCTTGATGCTCTCTGAACTTAGTTGTTTTCTTGCAGACATTTTATTACCCAAAGTAGGTAACATCATCAGTGTTAGCAAGAAAACCAAGCTCAGAAAGCACCAAGAATCCCTCATTTCAACCCTGAGCCACAAATGTTCTCATTTATTAAAAACCACTTTGCAATAAGTTACTCATCTTTTAGCTTAGCAGCCTATATTGTCTTGCTCAGTGATTGCATTTTATCACAAATAAGGCCAACATGCATGGTGAAATGATTGTCTATGCAGCTTCTTTTTTCAATAAAGCATTTCTGTTTAATATGGGTACCAAAGAACAGTAATTGATTGCCAGCATTAATCATGAATGAATGCAAGTATGAGGCCACCTGTTACTATTGAATGATGGCTATTAACTTCTACCCTTTTGTGTCTATAGTTTAAATAATCAATGAGAAGAATCTATCCTGTAAAAGGAAAAAATTCAAAATTTGCTTTTCTATTGTAAGGCTTCTAATTTAGTCTCTTATTGACACTTTCATGGAATTTATTCATCAATTCATTTTTTAAGCAGTTTAAAAAAAAGTTGGTGATCACATATATATTAAAATATTTCTACAGGGACAATATGTGGCACATTTTTGAACTTTTAAAATATTTTTCCTTATACATTCCAAGTGAAGTTATTCATTAGAGTTAATTATCAATTGCTACAAGTACTGAGAAATTCTGAGTTTCGGAATCAAGACTGAAAAATCCAGACTGAATTTTCCTGTAAATCAGAGATAGATGAGCACTGAAAAACTGTCTAGATGTAAGGTGTAAGATGTAATTAATTGTTACCATGGTCTTAGCTCTAAGGCTTTATGGTACAGAGATAATTAAGATCTTCCCTATATTAGTGGTATATAGACTTTCCATCACTCCTTACTATTACCTGTATTGACCATGGCTGACAACATTTGGAAACTTAATATAAAGATCCAAGACTTCATTTCTCTGAAACCTTCTGTGGGCTTCCAAGTTAGTACATTGTGCCTTGAGAGTCTTGCTGTAGGATTAGATGCATATTCATAGATCCAAAACTATTTGACACATTTCTGCTAAGAACTATATAGTGATGTTTTTTCAGTACTGGCTTAGTACAATAAATGAGCAGTTCCCATCAAAACGTTGGTACCTGGTCCCCAACCCTAGGCTATGGACAAGCACCAGGCTGTGACACACCAGAAACCGGCTATGCAAACAAGCCAAGCCCCATCCGTGCATGCACAGGGTGCAGGCAACCATAGAGGCAAACGGGGCAAAACCATGCCTCCTGTCCACAAAAAAACAACAACCCCTCTCTTCACAGAATTGATCCCTGGCACCCAAAAGCTTGGGGGTGGGGAGCACAGAGCTACAATATTCTCTACTTTTCTGTTAAAGGTGCACAATGTGGATGCTTCATCAGATACAACCATCATCTTTTTGGGGGTTGAGGAATCTGTTCTGCTCTTCTAAAGAACAGGGTTCAGATTATTGCACAAAGTCTTTTTACAGGTAGCTCCAGTTTTGCCAGTCAGCTTGAGAATATTTGTGTTTTTTCATGTATTAAAATTGGGTAGGACAGGTTATTCTTGGTTAACTAAGGGGTTTTGTTTCTGATTTGTTTTGCTATTATGTTTTATGATGTAGTTCAAGATTTAATGATTGCCAACTCTCTTGAGCACATCTGGAAAAACATATTTTGAAAAATACAGTATATCACACAATTTTTGCTTCAAATGACCCAGTATTATGGAAGCCTGTAATGTGCTCTTAACCTTTTCTTTAAAAAAAAAGTTTTTATAATATATGGAATTCTACTACAGACATTTCCCTACTCTTGAGGTATAGCATTTTCTGTTCATCTTTGAAGCAACAAAATTATGGTGGCATGACATTTGCCAATTCCTGCCCTGCCTTTATTGCTTATATTTCCAATCATTGCCAGTCCACTTAATTTCCGTTTAGTAGATAGTGCTTTTGGATGCCTTTGAGATAAGGAGATAAATTTTACTTTTAACTTTAGTTCCATTTGGGATGTCTTAAAGCTATTTCACTCATGGGGATAAGGTGAAGGCAATGTCGTGAGGAGGTTAAAAATGCAGAAACTTTTGAGGAAAGGGGAGCAGCTCTGGAGAAAGAACAATGAACTACTTCCATTTTATTTGTTTGTTTATTTATTTAGTCAAGCGATTATAAGATAACAGGTATAAGTATAAACAATAGTTATGAATACATGAAATGGATACATATAAGAAAAATAAAACAATAGGACAGGGACAGTAGGCACGTTGATATTATTGTTTTCCCCAGCGGCTGAAAAAAAAGATGTGCGAGCAAATTTGCCTTTTTTCCCCGGGGTGTGTGTTTGGGGGCGGCACTCGTTAGGCGCGCTCTTTTTGTTTTGTTATTTGGACCAAGTGGTCCTCAGGATGGGAAGCAACTATTGGCTAGGGACAGGGAGGGAGGCAGCAGGGAAAATGACCCGGGGTGGGTGGACAGAGACTTCCCTCGTCTTCTTCACACGCCATTTCCTGCTTTCGTGTTTACTTCCCGGTTCACCTCTCCCGTCACGGGCACAGCAAATCAAACGCCGCTTTCAAGGGAAGCCCAAGACGGGAGAAGCAGGGGAGTGAATGGGACTACAGGGCAGAGTTTGTCCCGGAAGGTAAGTCCGGGGTGGCTTCTCTCGAGCGCTTTCCCGCTGTTGGAGCCCAAACCCGATCTGACATGAGCTCCTTCGCCTTCTCCTCTTGCAGGTTTATCCGGAGCCGCGCACCGAGAGCGAGTGCCTGAGCAATATCCGCGAGTTTCTTCGGGCATGCGGCGCCACCCTTCGCCTGGAGGTGAGGAAATGGGATGGGAGGCGGCTGCATGTCTACCTGTGGTGCGTCGGGGGAGGAGGGTGGAGGAATGGGGTGGCGGTAAAATCTCTGCAAAAGAATGAATCGGGTTATGCAGAAGCCGGGATGGGGTGGCTGCGAACAAGAAACCTCCCTGTCTCTTGTTTTACACAGGCGAGGCTGTCAATAGCCCGGTATTAATCTCATGATTTTTATCTGCACGTCTATAAACTGTTCACACGGATCAATCCTACATTTTCTCTATTTAAAACAGTAATTTATGCCACCCTGCTGTTGCATTGTTTGAACAATGTTCTGTTTTTTTGCAATCAAGCTTAAACGTATTAAGCTTCCCTACAAAGAACTCGGGTGGAAGGACAAGTTAGGAAAGATATGATAGATCTGAGGTTCTGGAGAACTGTGTGTTGCATTGGAATGCTTGTCTTGGAGCTGAGAATACTTACCCCACAATGCCCAGGCTGCTCTTGACTGGTATTAGCCTCACAGCAGAAAGTATCCTAGTGTGGTTTCTGCTAGAAAGCTAGTAAGGTACTTGGATTGGAGAAAAAAAGTTAACCTTCACCTTGTATATTCACTTGCTTTTTTTCATATGTCTCTAGCGCACCACACTGAAGCCTCTGTATATTGTGAAAATCTAGCCTGTGCTGTTTGATAATGGTGTGGTATGTTATGCACCTGAGTTAGTTTAGTAAAGTTTTATTGGATAAGCCTGTTGTGTAAATATAACCAGTTTTGACCTTATGAGTAATTTAGTGATAGCTCTTTTCATGTTGGGGAACTGAGAGCCAGTTTGATATAGTTTAGGTTCTCCTAGGAATCAGAAGATTATGAGTTCTAGACCTCCCTTAGGCATGAAAGCTGGCTTGGTGACTTCGAGCCAGTCATGCTTTTGCAGCCCAACCCATTTCAAAAAGTTGCTATGGGGAAAATAGGAGGAAGGATTATTATGTGTGTTAACTGTCTTGAGTTGACCAAATTAAACAAAGTGGGATATATGGTCATTTAGGACAGTGGTCGCCAACCAGTGGGCCTGGGACCACTTCTGGTCTGCAAGAAAATTTTGGTGGTCCGCAGAGAAATGTCACCCCCAAAGCACCCCCCAAAGCAATTAATCCAGGCTGTGTGAGAACACAAGGCTTGCTTCGCTTGCATTGCAAGCAACACGAGGTAGTGAGGAGAGTGGGGAAAGGGCAGGGGGGGGGACTTGCCCCACTCGCCTGGCCTGGCCACCGGGCTGCTTCTTTCCACTCCTTTCTTCTGCTTTTGGCTGCATGGAAGGAAAGCAGCAAAAGTCTTTCTCTCCCCCAAACTTTGCCAGAAATGAGTCTTTGGGACCCTGCAAGGCATCCTGCTCCAAGAGGTTGCGCCGGTGCAACAAGTCTCACAAAGACTCATTTCTGGCAGAGTTTGGGGGAGAGAAAGAAAGACTTTTGCTGCTTCTGCTGCTTTCCTTGCATGAAGCCAAAAGTCTCTCTCTCTCTCTCTCTCTCTCTCTCTCTCTCCCTCTCCCTCTCCCTCTCCCTCTCCCTCTCCCTCTCCTCCCCCTCCTCCTGAGAACAGAGCTGGAGACGGTATCCTGAGATCCCCAATAAAGAATGATCGATCGGTAGGAAAATGGGGTGAGGAATTTTCCTGCAGACTTTTTTGGGGGGATTTTCCCAGAGTCTCTGATCCACGGGATTTAAAATTATGAGTTTCGTGCTCCCTGAGGTCCAAAAGGTTGGCAACCCCTGATTTAGGGTATCCTATATGTTTTATGTGTGTGTGTGTGGCTTTCCTGTCAAAGGTTCTGCTATTAAACATATTTTAATGCATCACTTTGGACAAAGTCCTCCATGACCAAAGTACATGTTCATTCATAAAAGTGTTGTTTCTATCATATCCAAAATTCCTTTAGTAAGCTTTTCATTAGTTGCAGAATTTTTTATTTGTAGTTTCATCTGTACATTTGCTATATACAAAGTCTTCATCTTAGAATCTGTATTGGTAATCTCACTCATGCAATGCCTGCCCTTTCCCTTCTGAAGGAAAAAAAATTAACTAAATTTAGTTATCAACCCCATTCATTACATCTTCTGTGATCTCTGTTTCCCCATTGCTTTCTATTCTTGCAAACATATCTGTACTCTGCTTTATATGATGCCTTTTCTTCTTTAAACTTGTCACTTCTCTCTGTCATCTCCCTCTAACCATTATTTTCTTGGTCTTTTCTATCTTCTAAACCCATTTTTCCTTCCTTCATAGATATATTTGCAATTTGTTCCTCATTTATTTTCTGTGATCTAACCATATTATCAGTTCTTCATTTTTTTCATCTTTAGTAAATGTTCTAGTATAAAGATGTGTATCTAAAGATACAGTAATCCATAAAAGTATTGTACAAATACATTTAATTTTTCATCATTTGTGCATAACTTGAATATTCACTGTATTTTTACTTTCAAACCTTGATATTCTGATACATTGATTTTTAGATCTATACTTGCTTTATTATACTGTGTATGTAATGTTTGGTATAAATCATAAGGATTCTTGGCTAGCAGCAGTACAGCATCTACATGAAAAGATACATTTTTTCGAACATATATAATCTGTATTGTCACCATAAGTGTTTATTATATAAGAATCCATAAATACATTAAATAATCAAGGAGATCTCATACATCATTGTTCCTTCTCTACTCTGGATCATAAATGTTTATTTCATTTACTAAGCATTCCATTTATTTCATTCATACATTTGTTTGGTTTTATTTTAGCCCAGTGTGTGAGCTCAACTATTGGCAATTATTAACAAAACTATATGTCTTACATTTTGGACCAACACAGGCAGTTGTTTATTTAGTAGCCAGTGGTTTAAGAAATTGATTTAAAATTATTTATGTCAAGGATCATGCTATATATGGAGTGCCAGTGTGCCTATAGATGTTCTCTTTGGTGCCTCAAGGCTATCTTCCATGCCTGACTGTTTACATTGAAGAGTATAATCAAATGAATGGAAGTTGTTATTAAGAAAGCAAAGCATCATATTTATTTCCAAGGCTGACCCTAGGAATTTTTAGAAAATAAGAATGGGTGGTTGCTTTTTTTTTACAAGTGTACTGACCTGCCCAGTAAAAGTACAAAGATTTTATTTATTTGTTTGTTTATTGATTTATTCATGTCAATTAAGGCATACTATACCACACAAAATTTAAAACATAAAATACAGTATTAAAATATGTACAAATTAAGCAGATCTTGTCTAGAAACTAGCAACATTGTGTTCTTTTGCACTGCCACAAGATCCACAAAGGACAGGTATACATATGTGTTGTTGTCTGCATGTCACCACAATCATAAAGAGCAGAAGTAGAATAGGATTAGCCCTATTTGTTCAGAGTGTCTCTGGATGTTGGTGTATCCATGCACAGTCGATCTAAAGAAGCCTCTCCTAGATTTTAACCTCTGATGAACTGGTTTTTAGGCCATGGGGAGGGTGTTGTCTAGATATTGATGATTTAAGCCTCTCTGTATATGTTGCTGCTTCTCTATAACAGCAGGTGGAGCAATGCCAGCTAGATGATAGATCTTATCTAGAGGGATAGGTTTTAGTTATCCAGTAATAATTCTGCTAGCTTCATTCAGAGCAACATCGCAGCATGTGCTGATTTATAACAGAGTGGGCAGGTGTATTCACCTGCTGAGTAGCAAAGAGCTAAAGCTGTTCTCTTAAAAACCCTTGATTTAGCACCCAGTTAGAGCTTATTAATATCCTGAGGAAGTGACCTTCAGTTTAGAGTTGGTACAGTGCTGCTTACCTATTAAGGCCTTATCTAGAGTCATCCCCTAAATATTTAGGGCTGTAGCAATGCTGTAAAAATGAGCCAAAATAATTGGAATTTGGGATGTGGAGAGATGACAATAAAAGTATTAGTAGGAATAGATTTATAAATATGCCAGCTGGAAACTGGAATTTATTCAAACCATGCCAGCACTTTGCTTGGAGGAGCTCCCAGTGTAGCTTGCAAATCAAGGAAAAGTCTGTTCTGCCTTCCAAGCTTACACACTAAAAAGAAATGACATCAAAGGAATAAGAATAGAGAAAGGAGAACAAAAATGAGAGAGAGGGAGAGAGAGAGAGAGATACTGAGATAGTAATGCGGTCGCACCCTCCAGTCATATCTTTGATTATGATTATGATTGGTGCTGCCTAGTGACCCGTAGCATACCCTATACCTGTGATGGCGAACCTATGGCATGCATGCCGGAAGTGGCAAGCAGAGCCATTTCTGCCAGCATGCCAGAGATCGCCCGGAAGAGCCAGCTGATTGTCGGGTATCTGCCACGCATGTGCAGGGGAGATGTATGCACAGAGGGCGGGGCGCCTGGGGGGTCTTGCGTGCATGCGCAGAGGCACGCAGTGTGCAGAGGTCACATGCGCAGAGGCGTGCGGTGCGCATGCAGGGCATCTCGTGCAGGGACGGGGTGTCATGTGTGCATTGCATCATGGGTGCAGGCACATGCACGCGCACTTTCAGCATGTCATGTTGAAAAGGTTAGCCATCACTGCCCTATACAATAGCCTTTGGGGTGACTGGAAAAGTGTATGTGTTTGTAAAGTTCTTTTTATCATTCTTTTTATCATTACAGAAATTTGCTGGGTGGTAAGCAAAAAGCTAACTAAGCTATGACATACATGGTTTGGTTATTTAAAAAGAAAATATCACCCTAGAGAAGCTCTATCTTTTATTTCTTTTGATCCAAGCTGATCATAATTGGTGGATAAATTTATCTAAGAGAGAGTACCAAAGAGTATCTGTCTTTTTAAAGGGACTCTCATACCTTGATTGTGATATCTATTTCATGGGATATTAAGCTAGGCAGATTGAATTAAAATGAGTCATCTTCCAGCAGTTTATTAAAAAGACCAAATCCAATAGTGTCGCTGGATTGTACTATATAACGTGTGCAGTTAGAGGGCTACATAATTTTCAAGTGTC